AAGGTTCTAAACATCCAATAGATTTATAAACATTAGACACAAAGGAGCTTCTGATACACACACACAGCTAAGTAACAGCTTGAGGCCAGAGAACGGAGAAGACTGTTCACGGGTTGTGGGAAGACAGTTGAGCCAGTTCTCACATCTGAATCTGGAGAATATCCAGGTAGTGCTACTCCTTCAAAATTTTTGTTTTGAAGAGGATTATCATGGACTCTATAACAAAATATTCAAATTTCTTCTCAGATTTTTAGTTCTCTTTCTGGTCTACTTCCAATTTAAACTTGATTCAATTATCTACCTCATAAAAGTATGTAAAAATATCCTGTGCAAAACAGCTCCATTGTGAGAAATAGCGCTCACTGGATAGGGTTGGGAATGTTTCCAGAACAGGCTGCAGATCAGGAGTTCTCACACAGGCAACTGTGCTAAGACTAACAGTTAACATACACTGAGTACACACTTTGTGCCAAACACTCGCAATTGCAGAATATTATTTTATCACAGCCTGCGATAAATGTCTTTATTCCATTTTACAGATAAGGAAGTAAAGGCACATGCTTGCCACAGATCAGACATCCAAGAAGGTGGTCTTTGAATTTAAGCAGTCTGACTCCAAAGCCCAACCCCTTAGCGACCTGAACCCATTATCAAGGCATCTTTGTAGATCCAGAATTGCTTTCTAATAAAGGCAATTTCTTGACAGTTTACAAATAGAATGGTCTTTCCTAAAGAGAAGGAATCAAGGGTGTGACTGTTCCTGAAGAAGGCTTCCTCTACCCCTAAGGTGTTTTCTGGAAGAACAGGGTTGCAGGGATCTGATGAGGGCCTCCCCAGCATCCACTCCCCTCCTTCCCTGAGCAGCAGATGCCTGTTTCAGATGGGACTGGCCCTGCTGCCAGAACCTTTCCACAGGTGCATCCTTAACCACTCCATGTAATCCCCCCGTAATTAACATATTTACTTGTCCAGGAATGGACTCAGAATCCCCTGGCCCACAGAAGAAAGTGGAGAGTTCTGCTTATGGCTGGTTGGTGACAAGCAGACGCCCCCTCCTCCAGCGAGCTATATAAATGAAGAGGCAGGAGTGAGCAGACAGCCATCTTTTTTTTTTTTTTTTTTAATTGGTACCGGGGATAGAATTCACAACCGCCTGCTTGCAAGGCAGGTGCTTATGCTGCTGGGCTAAATCCCCAGCACCAGCAGACAGCTATCTTGCTACTAGGAGACAATTTAGCTGGAGATAGTCAAGCCATAGGAAGACACACCCCCCAAGAAAATTATAAACACAGATAGAGTGCTGATGGCCCTGTGAACTTCTAGACAAAAGCAAGGCTTAAGCCCACAACACTGGGTTTGTTATGTAAGGGAACAGATATATTTTTAAGCCAGTTGGCACTGGATTTTTTTGATAGTTACAAAGAAAAGCATACCAACTCATCATTCAAATACATTAACTCAGTATCCGCCATTTCAAGCATCACCAGAAAAAGGCTGTAATCCCATGCTGTATCAACCTGGAAGCCCAGAGTTCTCTGTGTACTGTCTCAGTTGGCATCTTTCCTGGTTAGTGTCTACTTTCATTCTCAAAAATATCCTGCTTGAACAATAAATTATTTGGTGACCTTATTTCTAATTTACCTTGCAACTCTTCTAAACACACAGACATAGATAAAAGGCAATCATTCCGATATAGAAGAAAAATTACTTGCAGCGAGAAAGGCACACAAAGGATCCAGACAGGCACAGCACGGTGACCCTGCTGCGGGAAAGAAGGTGAACCACACCCTGCTTCCACTGTCTACTGCCCAGCACAGCAAAGAGGCTCAGCCCGTCCTCTTGTCCATCCCTCCACAAGTTCTCACAGGGAAAAGGTTTTCTCAGCATTTTCTTTTTTTATTTTTGCAGAAAATCCACATACTGAAAGTATTAAAATTTTAAAAACCAGAATTTTTAAGGCATATTTTTAAATGAATTGATGACAAACATGCAGAATTTCAAGTCATGGATTTTCCTAGTGTTATGACTTTCCTGTAAGAAAATACATTAGGCTGATGCCCTTTTACAAGAATTAACAAAGTAAAATATGAACTGTAAATAGGGTGATCATAAAACTTAACATTCAAAGATTAAGGACAAATTCAAGAGACTGTTTTATACTTAATTAAAAACGCAAATGGATTAATTTTAGTTAACACATCAGATATAACTTGATACCAACTCATTAATTTTTTCTAATAAAACATTCAGATCAATTCAAGTTAATGCAAAATAATGATAGTGTAATGGAAGCAATGGAACATTTTAATCTCTATATTGAAAGTTGTGGAATTGCTAGAACTTTGAGACTAGCAAAAAAGTCATTTTTTTCCTCTTCCTATGGTTTTTGGATTTTCTTGATAGTAAAGTGAATTCTTGCAAGATTTTATATTATGTGATGAAAGAAAATTACAACATAACTATTTCTTTTTGGCCTGAATTTCATCAATTAAATGGTTTACATACTTCTTGAGTTTACTATAATACTAATTATATATTTAATTTCCACCTTTATCTAAATGAATGACAGAATCTTATATATTTAACATACAATTCTTATAATTGGATGATTATTAACTAAAATATAATACCAGAGGCTTGTAAGAATTTATCACTAGAATTAAATATCCACTAAAATAAGACTGATTGTTCTTAAAGAATTTATTTATAAAGATTATTCTTTGTAATGGAGTACTTTAAATATCTAAAAGAATACCTCAGATACCATTTGTCAACACAGTAAAACCTCTCTAATTAAAACCTCACTGATTTATGTCAGGGAAAAAAAGGTCTCCGATAAAAATGCTTTTCTCTTCTGTAAATAGAAGACTACATTAATTTTACAAAATACTAGGTTTTATGTTTTTGGCGAATGTTTCGACATTTGTTCGGCAATCAGACTCTCCTTGCTGAAGCAAGGTAGAGCACTTGGGTTCCGCATACGTACGAACATGCACATTATGTGCAAATCACGGTCCAGACTTCAAGTGCAGTTTTGAGTAAAAAAAAAAGCCATAGCAGCGGAACGCCAACAGCTCCCACGTTTCTGTATGTGATTGTGCCGATTCTTTTCTACTTCAACATTTCAACAAAACAAGTATTTTTGGATGTTTGTATTTATACTGTATTACATCACACACCAAGAACATAAAACAGAAAGGAGCGAGGGGAGTAGGAATGAAAGGAGGAATGCCTGCTCTCACGGGTTTACAATCTTACAGAAGATGTAACTGTGTGCTTCCTAATGACAGAAAACAAGACATTTTTATACACAATTAAAGAAGAATAAAAAAGGTTGCGGGAACGTAGAGAAGAGAAGCAGCAGATTCCACCTGGGATGGGGACAGGGGACTGAGGGACTCCTGGGCGGGTTTGAAGGTCAGGAGAATCTTGGCTGAAGGTAGTAAGAAAAGTGTGTCACAAAGACTTACGACAGGAAAGCACCTAGTTTATCCGGGTAAGAACTCGAAGTGTGACATAATTCCATGATACCTACACAAAGCAGAACTAGAAATGAAAACCACAAAGTGAGACGAGAGTCGGAACATCAACAACTTGAAAGGTATTAAGGAGAAGGCAGCCATGAGATCAGACTACCTGAAAAATCTGTGCATCTGTGAGAACATCTAGGCACAGGATACGTCCAGTACGGACTTGCCACTTCTGGTAGGTGTTGTTTTGAGACAGGGTCTCAGTGTGTAGTGCAAGTCAGCCTTACACTTGCTTGCACAACCCAGGCTGGCCTCGAACTCGGGGCTATCTTCATGCCTCAGCCTCTCAAGTGCAGGGGTGCAGGCACGTGCCACCCCGCCCGGCTAGACCTGCCAGTTCTGTTCGGGAATATTTCTACTTTAACCTCGCTCACATCTGGAAATACGCCTTTCCATTTACATTCAACAGCACCACGTTTCTACTCCTTTCCACACTACCATGTCAGGTCAGTAAACGGATTCTTCATACCATCCTTCCCCTGCATATATGTGTGTGTTTGTTTTCAGGCTCAAAGACTGTAAGCTCTCTGGAGGAAACTAGTCTGCTATGATGTTTTAAAGTTTTGAATTGTACCTTAGCAATCACAGTATTAAATTTAAAAATTGAGTAATTGTAGACAAAATAAATATATGAGATGACTTAGAATACTTTACTATTTTGGTAGTTCAACCATTGGTACTATTCTTGCAATTTTAAATACTTTCTGCTTCAAGTCTTGTAGGTCAACTGTCAACTAGAATTTAAATTAAAATGGACACAGCAACTAAAAAGTAGTTTATAGATACACGTTCAGCACAGGAAAATTATGACCTTGAAAGTAAAATGGTATAAAGCCTTACTACATGTGTGTAGAAAGTAAAAGTTCGTAAAGACAAATAGAAAAGGTAGTCTAAAAACTCTGATACAGAATACATTAACACAACAATAGCTTAAAGTACTTCAAATAAATAGCCTGGGTTCTAAAAATTCTCCAGCATCAGACACTCTTACTTATCAAATATCCTTTGTTTTCATTTCCTTTTTCGATTTTTATTAAAAATCAAAATGTATGTAATATATAATCATGTATATAACACAATTCAATTCTTTTTTCAGCCTCTTTCCCCATCTTTTCTCCCCATTCCCTCGAGCTCTTGGTCCTCCTGTTTGCAAAAGCTGTATCTTCCTTCCCCATCTGTCCTTTATGTTGCTCCTTATTTACATTTTAGGTTTCTCATATAAGAAAAATCAATATTTCTTGTATGATACTCATACAAGAAAAAGCAATATTAAAGCTTGTGTGTCTGATTTATTTCATTTAACATTATGGTCTTCAAGTTCATTTGTTATCCTATGAATGACCAAACATCCTTTGAAGTGAACACTTGTGACAATTACCATAGCTTTTCTAAGGTCGATGGCAATCTAAAATATGTATCACTCTCTAAAGAGAAACAACCAGTAGCACTTTAAAGATAGAAAACACCAACCTCTTTAATCTCATGTAGTTTTCACTGGCAGCAGGTCGGCATTCGGCTCTTTGAACCACTATTCCTTCCAATGAGAGTTTATCTTGAATCGAAGGAAAAAAAAAATCAAATATATTCAAAAGTAACGTTCATTAGTTCAAGACTGCAATTTTGGCACAACAACTACAGCAATATGATAATCAAATATAACTAATAGTAAAAATCAAGGAATCAACAGGAATACTATTAAGTTTATACCAACATCACTGGTTAGAATAGAGAGAAATCTTGGCTACTACCAAACTATACTCCTGTTGGATTTCTTTCTTTCTTTTTCTTTTTTGATGGGTACTGAGAATCAAATTTAGGACCTTGTGCTTGCGAGGCAGGTGCTGCACTGAACTATGTCCCCGTCATTTTTTTTTCCTTTTTGTACTGCTAGGCAGGCACCAAGCAACTGAGTTACATTCCGTATTTCTTAAGTTGCTGTATCCCCTTCCCAATTATAGCTTTTACACATTTAGTTCTTTATAAATAAAATGGCTTAAAAGGGCACACAACAGATATGGAGGCTAATATTGTTAGAGAGAAGTAACTTTCTATAGCATAGCTAATTTAAATCACTAAATCAAAGGAGTATGTAAATGTGCCTACAAATAAAATAAATCTGTAGAATTTCCTGTGACTGTAACAGCTTGCCTGATACGGAGTAAACCACTGTCTGGGTTATACTGTGTACTGGTTCAGCCTGCCAGTTGTTCTCACTTGTTTCCCAGAATAATAAACTTCAGTGCCCAAACTGAATCTGCTACGAATATTTGTCCAAACAATTTTCCCTACCATTAGTAATTCTTCTAGTGACTCTGACTTAAAACCTAGAGCACACATAGAGCAGAAATGAACGTAACTGAGATGAAGAAAACAATATAAAAAGTTAATGAATGGAAGATTGGTTCGTTGAAAGATAAAATAAAAATTGATAAACCCTTAGGCTAATCTTATCAAAGAAAAAACTCAAATTCATGCAATTAGGAATGAAAAGGTAGAATTACAATGGGCCCTGCTGAAATCCAGAAGATCATCGATACCTACTTTGAGAATCTGTACTCTAATAAGACAGAAAACACAGAAGGAACAGATCCCTAGGAACATATGAATTACCAATGTTGAATCAAGAAGACATAAAAGTTCTAAATAACCTAATAGCAGTCAATGAAATAAAAATGTAATTAAAAACTTACCAAGAAAGAAAAGCCCAGGTTGGGGCTGGGGATTTAGCGCAGCAGCGTAAGTGCCTGCCTTGCAAGCGCTTGGTCTTGAGTTTGATCCCCGGTACCGATTAAAAAAAAAAGAAAAGAAAAGCCCAATTCTTGATGGATTCACTGATAAATTCTACAAGAAATTTACAGAAGTTCTAATGCCATTACTCCTCAAACTCGTTAATGAAATTGAAAGGGAAGCAATTTTCCCAAAGTCATTCCTGGAAGCAATTATTACCTTGATATCAAAGCCAGAGAAGGACCCAATCAAAAAAAGGACTACAGGCCAATCTCCCTAAGGAACACAGAGGCAAAAATCCTCAATAGAATGTGACAAATTGTCAAGAAGATTATACACCAGAGGCAAGTAGAATTCATCCCAAGTATGAAGGAATGGTTCAACATATGCAAATCAATAAATGTAATACACCATATTAAGAGAGCCAAGGACAAAAACCACGTGATCATCTCAATAGACACAGAAAAAGCTTTTGACAAAATCCAACACCCATTAATAATTTTAGAAACCCTACAGAAAATTAGAATAGATGGTCTTTATCTCAATCTGGTGAAAGTCATCTATGACAAACCAACAACCAATATCATACTAATTGGCCCAGAGCTGAAAGCTTTCACTCTAAACTCAGTAACAAGAAAGACAGGATGTCCACTATCGTAACTCCAATACAGTTCTGGAAACACTAGCCAGCGCAACTAGACAAGAGAGAGAAATAAAAGGAATAAAGATAAGAAAGTAAGAAGTTAAATTATTTCTATGTGTAGATGACACGATACTCTACATAGAAGATCCCAAAACTCCACCAAAAGGCTTCTAGATTTAATAAACAAGTCCCTTCGCTGGTTACAAAATCAGTACCCCAAAATCAATAGCTTTCCTGTGCACAAATAACAAACTTACTGAGAGAGAAATTAGGGAAAGAACCCCCTTCACAATAGTACTGAAGAAAATGAAATACTTAGGAATTAATCTCAAAAAGAAAGTAAAAGATCTATATATTTAAAACTATAGTACTCTGAAAGAAAGGAGATTGAAGAGGGTATCAGAAAATGGAAAAAATATCCCTTGCTTTGGGGAGGAAAGAGCCAATATAGTGAAACTGACTATACTTTCAAAATTGTCATACAGATTTAATGCAATCTCAATCAAAATACCATTAGCATACCTCACAGAATTGGAGAAAATGTTCCTAAAATTCAATTGGAACTAGAATACACCTAGAAGAGCAAAAATAATTATAGGCAACAATGGCAAGGCAGGGGGCATCACAATTCCTGACTTGAAACTATACTGCAGAGCTACTATGATAAAAACAGTATGGTACTGACAAAACTAAACCAAACCCAAAAAGACTTAAGGATCAATGGAACAGAGTAAAAGACTCAGAAACAAATCCAAACACATTCAGCTTTCACAAAGGAGCTGTGTTGGTCACTTTTCTCTCATTTCTGGGACAAAATACTCAACACCTAAAACTAAGGAAGGAAATGTTTATTTAGTTTACAGTTTATAGATGTTTCAGTCTGTAATCAGCTGGTTGCAAAGGCAGGGTGGCATGGCACAGGGGCAACACTTGGAGGCAGCAGAAGACAGAGAAAGCAGCAAGAGCAAAAGAGGGGGAGAGCAACCCTCTTTGCCCTCCATGGTGGGGGCAGTGGGTACAGCACTCACACCACCTCAGTGTTCTCCTGCACAGGATGAGGATATCTACAAGGCGAGGGCTCTAGCCCCCTGCTGAGTCACTTCATTAAACTTCTACACCTCTCAAGGTGACACCATGTGCCAACCATCTCAGGAGCCAAACAAGTCCATTGGAAGAAAGACAGCTTCTTTAATTAATGGTTCTGAAAAACTGGTTTTCCACATGCCAAAGACTAAAACTACACCTGTGTCTATCACCATGCGCTAAATTAAAATTGAAATGGATTAAACATCTAAATATTAAAACAGAAACCCTAAATCTGCCGGGAGAGAGATAGGTAGATCTCTTGAAGACACTAGTGTAGGCAAAGACTTGATGCACAAAACCCAAACCACACTGGAAATACTTCAAAGAATCAATAACAGAGATCTCGTCAAGGTTTTTTTTTGTTTTGTTTTGTTTTGTTTTCTCGTCAAGGTTTTACATAGCAAAAGAAATCACCAATAGAGTGAATTGATGACACACAGGGTGGGAAAAATTTTCAGCCGATTGTCCTTCAGAGAAAGGATATCTAAAACATATAAAGAATTGAAAAAAATTATACCCCTCATATTTAAGACCCAATGCAAAAATGGGCACCTGAGATTAATACACACTTATCAGATGAAGTAGAAACAGCAAATAAATATGTGAAAAAATGTCCAACATCACTGGCTGTTTCACAGATGCAAATTAAAACAACAGTGAGATTCCATCTCACTCCAGAAAGAATGGTTACTATCAAGAAATCAAGCAAAACAAATTCTGGTGGAGATGTGGGGAAAACAGGAACCCTCATCCACTGTTTATGGGGATGTAAATAGGGGCAACCACTGTGGAAACCAGCATAGAAATTCCTGAAAAAACTAGGACTAGATGTTCCATTTGACCCACCTATTCCCCTCCTTGAAATCTTCCCAAGAGAATTAAAAACTTCGTACCACAGCAATCGAGGCACACCCATGTTTATAGCAGCACAGTTCTTAATAACAAACAACCCAATGTCCGTCACCTGGCGAAGGAATAAAGAAGATTGCTTTCAGTACTACTCAGCGATAAAGAAGGACAAACTTGAGACATTTTCAGCTACATGCATGGACCTTAAGACCATACTCTTAAGTAAAATAAACAGAATACACATATACAAATATTGCATTGTTTTTCTGATGTAAAAGTATAAATATGGACCACAGTGTAATAACAGAAATATGAAATAAGAAAATATACAGTTGGGAAGGGAAACGGGGGAGGGGGGAGTGAGGAAAGGAAAAGGAAAAAAAGACATATAAAGGATGAAATGGAAACAAAGCTTTGTAAATAAGGAGGGGAGAGGAACTGAAAGGAGGGAGAACAGGAAAAAAGAGGGATCGAGACGAACCATGGACAGGTACTAACCCTAACCCTATGATGAACGTGATCACTATGCATATTTAAATTGTACCAATAAACTTAATAATTAGTGCTCAACACCTAAAAAAGGAAATAAAAGTAACAATAGTATGTGCCCATTGGATATCAACCATCTGTGGCATAGTTGGGTGACAGACGTTTTTTTCTTTTTTGGTCTTTTTGAGACAGGGTCTCGCTATGCAGTTCAGGCTGGCCTTGAGCTCACTTTATAGCCCAGGCTGGTGTTGAACTCGCAACAATCCTCCTGCCTCAGCCTCCCAAGTGCTGGGATTACAGGCGTGAGCCACCACGCCCAGCTAGTTGGGTGACAGATCTTAATCATTATGTAATATATACAGGAATGTCTCATACTCACACCAGATTTACTACACTGCAGGAACATACTATCGCCATTAGAAACAGATGTGGTTCAATCATATATCCATGAGATGTACCTAAGTGTTAAGAGATTCAGAAGCTGCCTGGCTAATTTGGAATGCAGTTACGATTCATCTCTTCAGAGTGAATTAGTCCACTCATTCCATTAACATTAACTAATAAAGGCATCATCACGGCATTGTGGAATCAAAGATGATTATGAGGAGTTGCACATTTTGTATCCCAGAACTCTGGGAGGCTGAGGCAAAAGGATCAAAAACTGAGCCTGACATAGACAATTCAACAAGATCCTGCCTCTAAATAAATAAATAAATGAATGAATGAATAAATACCAGACAGGGAATATAGCTTACTCAGTGTGAAGTTCCTGACTTTAATCTCCAGTATCACACAAAGAAATTTTTAAGACATATTGTCTTCTAGAAGGACAAGTTTACTGGAAGAGACAGATATTCTAAACAAAATACGGAGCACAATTAGAACCAGTCTATGTGACCTATAGTAGAAAACCTTTCTTCTTAGGAACCTCTCCTGAGTTTGCCTCCAAAATCCAAGGGATTTCATATTCTAGCTCCTAAATACTAATTACAAATACACTGTGTGTATTCGGTATTTCCAGATCTCTCGATGCTCATGGATAACAAACCCCACTGAAAGGCTACCAGATGACTCAGAAGAGCAATGAGAGAAGCAGTGGACCTTGCACTGAAACATTCCCAGGAAGAAACAATAAAAAACAGCGATTGCTTTATATTAAGTTTAAAAATCTAAAAATAATTTCCTCTTATGAGTTTAATAATAGTAAAATATGAATGGTTTGAAAGCACAAACAAATCTTGTATTTGAGTCTGCCTCTCTGTTGAAGCTGAAAGTTCCAGCAGGAAAATGTATTCACTCATCACAGTAACAGCAAAAGCTGGGAAATTTTGATGTATAAAGTATCTTAAGTGTATGAAAAAAAGTTCAACCCTGGAACATTAATGTTTTTGAAAAACAAACTCAGAATAAGCGTTTACTGATATTTTAATACTAACAGAGCTTCCTTTTATATACCACTGGTGGATGCTTACCACTTAGTTAACAGTACCTACTCCAGGTGAACAATCTGAGTTTAATTTTTAAAGGTTTCTAAGATGGGCATGATGGCTCACACCTATAATTCCAGCACTCTGGTAGGCTATCGTAGGAGCATTCTAAGTTTGAGCCCAGCCCTGGCAACTTAGTGACTTAATAAGACCCTCAACGTGCTATCAATATCAGTATGGGGAAGAAGAAGAAGAAGAAGGGGGGAAGGAAGAAAGGAATAGGGAAAAAGGTTTCCTTCTGCCATCAACCTCCATATGACACGGGAAAGGGCAGAAAGAAAGTGGGCTCAAAGCACCTCCTCATTTCTACTAGACCATCACTTTCCTTATTATTTTTCAGTCAAGGTTACTCACACAAAGAATAAAACTCATTTTCTGAAACTGTCCCACACCTTCCCTTCAAACATAAAATAATTTTTAAATACTACTCAAGCAAAAATTCTCCCACCAACTAACTGACTTGAACTCTTTTTGTTTCCCTTGTCCCCTTCTCGTTTCAAATAAATTTTAAAAGTCAATTACTTATGATACTGATGCCTAAGCACAATTTTTAAACTTTTTAAAAGTTGATGTGTAATTGTTAAAATCTACAGGAACATATTTTAGTATTTTCCCACTAAACCTTTTCTTTCTCAAAACACTGCTTACATTTCAAGTGAAAGTTATTACAAACCCTATTAATACAAGAACCTTATTTAAAGCTACTTTGTTAGTTCAATTTGAAAAACCACAAATGTTTGAAAAACGATTATTTTTAATTCTATATACTTATGAAATATTTACTGCTTATTATGTAAAAGATCATGCAAAGCAATCAGGAATAACAAAAAGAAAATGAAACATGGCACTTGCCCTCAAGAAGCACAGAGTTGAGCAGAGATGTTTTCAAACAGTTGTTCTAAGGTACTTACTTTACTTTTTAAAGTACATACTGGTAACAGAGTACTAGATTTCACTTTGACGTTTTCATACATGTACGTCACACCCCCTGATCACACTCACTCCGCACAGCACTCCCCTCCTTCTCCCCCTAGCATCTTTTTCCTCCTCTCTACTAGTCTCTCTTCTACCTTCTTGTCCTCCCCAACCCCACCAACCCCACATCCGAGAGAAAACATGTGACAACTGTTTTGCTGAGTCTGACTTACTTTGCTCACCATGATGAGTTCCAGTCCCATGCATCTTCCTGGAAACGGCATGATTCTGGCCATTGTGGCTGAGTAAGTACTCCACTGTAGACATATAAATCACGCATCTGCTAACGGGCAGCTAGTCTGACTCCATGGCATGGCCACTGTGAAGCATGCCACAGTCAATACAGAAATATGGTTTCTATCTCGATGTCCTCCTCACAGAGCTTCATGCGCTTTAAAGGCCGAGCTTCTGACAAGCGTCTGGTTAAAGCGGGCTTATAACTGACTTGCTGTGAGGAGCTGGGGTCTGGTCAGAAGAGGTCGGTAATGGAGAGCAAGACCTGGAGGGTCCATCTCTCTCCAGCTTTTCCTTTTAATCTCTGCTTCCTGCCGGCTATGAGATGAGCACCTTTTCCTCCATTATGCCCCAAGCTACGCTGTCCTGCCTCCGAGCTGGTGGGTATGGTCTGAAACTACTATCAACTGTGAACCAAAATAAACCTCTCCTCCTTTAATTTGCAGCTGCTGAGTATTGTGTCTCAGTGATGAGGAAATGACTAAGACACGTGGGTATGCAGGCATCTCTATAGAATATTGACCTTAATTCCTGTGGATATATACTGAGGTGAGGTATGGCTGCATCATATGGCACTTCCTGCTGTGCATATTTTGGAGAACCTTCATGTAATTTCCATTATGGATTCAATAATTTAAATACCCATCCAACAGTAGCAGCCTGATTTAAGTATTCCATGTTATATACATACACTAAAACATGCTGTACACTACAAATGCATTATAAGCTTTGTAGACTTAAAATTTTTTTTACAAAAATATATGCATTTACATTTGCTTTTAAAAGAAAAAAAGTATAAAAATCCCCAAAGAGCTTTCACTTATGTGAGCATCAATTACTGATATATACATTAGAAAGTAAGAAATTTTTGAAGAACAAGATTTTAAAAAAAGGCATACTAGTAATAAAAAAATACATTTTGATTTCAGATCTCTTGAAAGAGTCTCAGAGATTCTTCTACCTAGAGGTCCCCAGATCACATTTTAAAAGGTACAGGTCTAGAAAAACGACAGCATCTGTATACATAAATCATTTAAATAAAACAGAAGCACTTTTTATACACCTCCGTTTAAGTCACTTCCAGATTAACAAAGGCTTTAATTTCACACCATCAAATGTAGTGACAGATGCCCACAAGTCTCTATGCAGAAGTGGGTAGCACACTAATCTCTAGCACTCCCACATACGTCTGCTCAAATTATTAGAGAACTTGTTGGTGCTAGTTTTAGTAATCATGCCATTTGATTATGTGTTATGTAAACTCACTAAATTATGAATATACAGGAGAAGGAGATGTCTCTAGAAAAACAAGGCTGAATGATTTGTTAAGCCTTGATATAAACACAAGTTGCTAAAAAACACTGTCAAGTTAGGTATGGGAGGAGATGATTGGAAGACAAGCATAAAAACCTAGAAGGATGTACATTTTTATTGTATCAGTGTCTTTATTAATCCTTTTCTGAAAGAAAACAAAACTGAAAATCTAAACTAAATTATGGGTTTAACTTCCATAAGAGAAAGTAGTCACTTAGCATCCTATACTCAAAGGCCTTACTTTACATGAACATCAGCAGTTAAATGTAAATTTATATAAATTTTAAGCAAAAGTGTTCAAGATAGTTAGAAATGCATACTGATATCACTTTAAAAATTATTTCCTACACTTTAATTTAACTGACCAATCACTAGTCATTCCATATGATCTATGGGATTCTATTATACAAAGTAGAGTATGTTAAAATTATATCTGTCATAAATCTAATTAAACACATGCACAGAGAAATTACGTTCATCTGGAGATGAGAAAGAGCTGTGATAGAGAAAGCAATATTTGTGTTACACTTGAAAAATGAGTAGGATTTAGGTAAGAAGGCACCGAAGGTATGTGAACAGCCTTAACAGAGGCTTTTAGTACGTGCCAGGTGATCCCTCCTACCTGAAATTTTAACTAAGGGACTCACACCACAAATCACGGAAAGAACTTGGCAAAGCTAGCAATATGAAGAGAAGCTATAAAGCTTCTAAATTGCATTGAAGGCTTTAGAGGGGTTTACCTCATACCTTTCTTTCTCTGTGCTTATTTGTTCATGCTCTTTTCTAAATCTTCCCATTTTGCCCCTTTTTGGCTAGGTTGGTTTGCTGATTGGTTTCTGTGATATACTTGCAGTCAAAAGAATTTTAGTAAATGTGAAGATGGTGAAAGTATCTTAATTATGCATGTCCTGCCACCTAGTTTCACAAAAACCAAAAACCAAAAAAATTTTACAAGGTTGGTACACAAAGCAGATCCCATAAAAAGGATTACAGGATTCTAGTAGGATTCTGTTACCAAATCACAGCGTTCCTTTGGAGAAATTACATCTCTGAGCTTCAGCGTCTCTATAATGAAGTTACTGGCATCTCTGAGATCTCTTCCATTTCTCTTTCACTAAATAAAAACATTGGCCTTCTGCTCCAATTGGGAACGTCTTATTATTTCATTAGGATTTATTTTGTTTGTTATACTCTCAAAAAGACCTAGATGCAATTAAATTTTTCCTGGGTATACATCAGAAAGTGTTTCTTGGAATAACAACAAAAGAGGCTGTTCAAAACTTGAAAATACTGCAACTTCTGCTCTAAACTGCAACTTCCTGCTCTATATCTGAACATTAGGATATATTCTATGTTCAAAAACTGAAAAGAAATGATCAAGTGGTGCTTCTTTCAAGGTAAGGGCATCTAATTTGAACAAGTTAAGGTAATGTGCAAGCAGGGAGGGGACTTACTAGCATTGGCATGCTAAGTAATGAGCTAACATACATTAGGAAGTCCTTAGGCACCCAGAAGTTTTAGTCATTACTCCACGTGGCCACTCAACCCATTCCAATGCGGAGGCCCTTCAGGGCACTTCTGCACTCAGTTAAAACAGACCAGTGGCCTAGACTTTGGACTGCTCCTCCAGAATGTGCAACGACTCTTCTCATTTACATCAGTCCTGCGATGCTGAAAAGGACAGAAGACACATTTCCAGAGAGGAAGTACACTTAAAAGGTAGATCATTTTTAACATTCTTGTACTCTGTCTTCTTATTTGAAATATTTTCCTGTTAGTTTTCTTGCCTGTGAATTTCAAATGCCACCTGGCATCTTAATAACCTATTAAGCAAACTTATTATTCTTAAATTGTTAAGAAGATAGAAAGGTAATCTTTATTCAAATTTGTGAATGCTGTTCTGATTTCTATGAATTCCAATAAAGTTCAAAGGAAATGAATTGAAGTCACATAAATATTCTCTAAAATTATCATGTTTTGTGTTTGTTTTCCATTAGTACTGACTGAACCTAGGGACAGCTAAGCTATATTCCAGCTCTTTTCATTCTTTGAGAAAAGATCTTGGTAAATTACCTGGCTGCCAGGCTGGCCTCAAGTTTTCAATCCTTCTGCCTCAATCTTCCGAATATAGTAATTAGGATTATAGGCATGTTACTTTCTGTCCTGATTTATACATATTTTCTTATAATAATATTCAAATTACAAGGTACATCTAATGTATTGGGAATTCCCAATTTAAAATAAAACAGTTTGAGGACTGGGCTCAGGATTTTAAAAATATTCAATTTCCTCACCTATAATATTCCTCTTCTCCCTATGACCTGGAAGAAAGGGATTGTAGTTATGTTTCTGAACAAAAAATGCTGTAACGCTACCCAAAGAGTATCTGTGAATGACAAGACTGGCTGTCAAGCAGTAGAAAGGAAGGAGTTAGCAAATGTGCAAAATGAATGTTTCAAATGTCTGCAGGAGTTTGGACGACTCCATCAGTTTACAGAAACTGACTTTCCATCAAAAAAAAAAAAAATGTAGTGAATGAGCATAAAAAGAAAACACATGTGTATGTTTCAGTATTTACAAAGCAAAGTTCACAAGTTGTCATCATACCTATACTTCCAATTAGTCTTTTTGCTCCTTACACCACATACATAATGAAATTAATATAAAAATACCTTAACTAGATACAAACATTAAGCTGTATAAAGAGGCATAATTTCCATTCTCAAGGTTGCTTTCAAGAAGCTTATAAAGCTCCCAAATAAATTCAGTTATAATACAGTAATACTAAATTGTATATAATAAGAAAAGAAAATAGGCAGAGAAATCATTGTGTTATAACATCGGTTGATTTTTCCAGTATTCAAAATGGTTGAGATCAGAAGTTTCCAATTGTCTTTTTTTTTAAAAATTTTTAAATTTTGGAATATTGTCACAGGCTTTACTGGTTGACATCCTTCACCCAGAAATTCAAACTCCAAACATTTAAAATGGAAAAAAAAGGGGCTGGGGATTTAGCTCAGCAGCATGAGCACCTGTCTTGCAAGCAGGCAGTCGTGAGTTCGATCCCCAGTACCGATAAAAAGCAAAAAGACAAGGAAAACAAGATAAAATAAATACAAACAAAAGTGAGTGAATAGAAAAATCCTTCTGGAAGATTAAGTGTTTTGGAGAATAGACTTACACCATGGAGCTATGCTTTGGCCAAACAGTGTGGTAGATATAATCAGGGGCACAAGGAAGCACTCTGTGCTTACAATCCGCTGTGCTTAGGAAGACTTTAACTGAAGGACACAATATTCACTTCATACTTACAGAAGATTCACTGCCAACATTTTTAAACCAACTAACTATAATTCAAGTTCCATAAAATTTTATCTTTAATAATTCTTACTTTACTATGTTTAATCAAGTAACAGCAGTAATACCATACATTACTAGTTTTGCTTCTGAAGATTTTCAAGATACTTTGAAGTCAAAAGAGCCTTCAACCTTACAAAGGTAGACGTTATGAACCCACCACTAAAGACTCCTTTCAGATAAGGTTCTTTTTCTGAGCTCACCAATTTCCTTAACATGGTGGTTCATCAACTCTGGCTGATCATAGAATCTCCTGGGGGAGCATTTTTTAAAAAAAAGTACTGTGCCTACCTGCAAAGAACCTGCTTCAACTGTATTGTGTGGGAAAGAGAGAGCAGCCACATTTTTATCTTTCTCTCTGGTATCTCTGTTGTCTGGTATCTCTCTTACTCTTCCCTCTATCTTTTCTCTCGGTCTGTTATTTTCTTAAGAGATGAAGGAAGTAAGAGCCGGGTACACAGCTCTGTGGCACAGGGTCTGCCTGGCAAGTATAAGGTCCTGAAGTTGATTGCCAGTACCAAAAAAAAAAAAAAAAAAAAGATATGAAGGAAAGTTTTCAGAGCTGCTCAAACATGCAGTCCACTGTAGTATTTATCATTTAATGTACCTTATAAAAGACAAAATACTGCCATTAAACTTAAACAGTGATTTTTAAGCCACATCTCAATTACAGAAATGTTAAAAATGTGAAAAATGTTAACGAGACTTCCGCACCCCACAATTACCCTGCTCCGTAAGAAACTCCATGTGCTCCTCTGAGCTACACCGTGTGTCCTCTTCTACACACTCTCATCAAAGAAGACCCAAAGGATGGAAAGCTAAGAGGGTAACAGGAACAATGCGGGGGGGGCATTTCAGAACAGAGACGCTCTTTGGTCACTGATTTCATGTCTGTAAGTTTTTACAACAGTCATCTCATTAATTTAGAGAGTATAGGTAATGATTATTAACCTAAAATAATCCAGAGACAGTAAAATTCCATTTTTCCAACTAGCACTACAAAATAAGTTTTATACAATATTATAACCTCAGTGTTGACTTGATGGCTCATAGAAATGTTTGTTCATTTAGTTACAATAAGATTCTAAGGTAGACAGTAACACAGAAGCCACACTTTAAAAAAAAAAAGCTTCGTTTAAAAAAATTTTGACTTCTGCTTACAAAATTACAAAAATACAAATTTTCCTAAACATGCATCTTCTAAAGTGCAATATGAATTAACATGACTTATAAATTGCTGTCAACACTGCCTCTATACTGAAAGCAAAGAAACACGGAATGGAATTTACCTGAACTTTCAACTGGCCTGTCAAATTTATTTGTGCTTTCTGCACACATAGTGATTTATTCTTTTCCTCACTCCTCAAATGAGACTAAAAAATTTCCCAATGTAGCCAAGTTTCCTAGCTTCTTTGAAGACTTAGTCCAACACCACAAAACATTCACAAGTACATTTATCATTCCAGTGGACTGGAGTGACACATCTACTTGATCTTCTGGCCAGAAGTCATGGCCGGTGAGCCTTATGAAGGTTCAACCACTGTACATAGTTTGTGAAATGCTGTGGTCAGTCATATAAGCTGACGCTGTGCTTGTGTTAGTATGATTCCAGGCCTAGAAAACACTTAATGCAGATGAATTTTATATTTCGAAATGAAAATACAGTTTTGACATTCAAGTAAAACTACAATAAAGAAAAAGCTTTAATTCTTAAAATATTAATACATAGTACTGCAGTTTATTTTACTTTTTAACACACAAAGGGTTAAGGTAACATACTCATAGAGATATCAAGATGAGTGTTTCTTACACCCAGTGCTATTAGTAAGAGGCTATGAAGAAAGCCCTGTGTAAAGAGAAACTCAGCTGGTGAAAAGCACAGGAAGGTCAAAGCACAGATCCATACAACAGAAACTACCAGCTGCTGCTCTAGTCAAAGTTGCTTTTACTGTCTAAGACAGTGGGAATTAATCACTTCAAAAGACATACAGAATAAGCATACAGGTGAAAACAACCAAAAAGATGTGGTAGCTGGGGATATAGCTTAATGTGAGTGCTTGCTTAGCATGCATTAGGTTCTAGATTTGATCACTAACATTGCAAAAATGTGTGTGTGTGTGTGTGTGCAGACATAAAAAAATGTGAAGATATATTTTCTTCCTATTAAAAGCAGTTCTGAAAAATATCTACTGTCTGAAAAGCAGTTTGATTTTCACGGCAGAATGATCTCTTGAATCTAGGGAATTATCAAATTTTGTATCTTCCAACCAGATGCAGGATTTTCCTGGTAGGGTTCCATTTACTTCTGTGGCATGGGAGTATCTCTGGCATATAAAGGGTACAATCATATATTACGAGGAGGTCCTATGTCAATCAATTATGGTGACGCCAAGGACCTCATTGCCCACTAGGGGCTGACAGAAAAGATGGGAATTCCTTTCATTACCCTGGAATAAATTCTACACAATGCAGATAGTAGAGCAGAGCTACCTCAAGGTAGAAGATTTTGTCAGAATTTGATTAGCCACTGGGCCCAATTAATTCAGACAAGGACCCATTTAAATTCACCAAATTAAAAAAAAATAAAATAAAAAAAAAAATAAATTCACCAAATTGGCTAAAGGGCTCTTTTGTGTACACAACTAAAAGTGTCTAAAACAAGCTGGGCATGGTGGCACACTCCTGTAATCCTGGCACTCAGGAGCCTGAGGCAGGAGGATCATTACAAGTTCAAGACCAGCCTGGGCTACAAAGTAAGTTTAAGGCCAGCCTGAACTGCATAGTGAAACCCTGTTTCAGAAAGAAAAAGAAAAAAGAAAGTCTAAAACATAGGGGATCTAATTCATGGATTAAAATTATGAAAAGAAAACAGGGCCCTTATCTTCTAATTTTTATCTCTTTTTGCCCAAAAAGGCAGATGAAATCCTCAAATCTAGCAGTCAAGTATACATAGGTAAGCTACTCTTTGATGTGTGGTTTAGGTCTTTCTGCAGAAACCACTGAATTAATTCTAGTTTATAGTTGCAGTGGAGTAGAGAAATACAGTCACATGAACCAGGAGTGCTTCCTTTAGTATGGGTACAGAACCAGTATTTTAGTTTTAGGGCTATGTGAACCTGACACTACCCTGGACAGCACTCCATATCCCAAATACATATGAATTTAGAGCAAACTAATAAGAAGCCAACCTGCATTTCTCTTAAGGGAGCATGTGTACCACAACAGGCAGCAATGATCAAAGACCCCTACATTGTATGAAGTGCAATCATTTTGCTCTAAAAGAAGCAATGTGCCTAAGGTTGGGTCTACTGGATGCTGTTTTGCTTTCTTAAGACTGTAAGATGGAGCAAAGAGAACACAAAAGAAAACTCCTATGAGTTCGTATCAGCTTGTAGTGAAGCGTAAAGACAAGGCTCCAGTTATACTACTGTTGCCAAGACAGAGGTGGCAAAGGACAGCAAACCAATTCCCCATGGCAGATCTGCAGGAGAAAAGACACTACAGTGAAGTCTGAAGTGAGAAAAAGTGTTCAAGGTAACTAACGCTGAAAACCTAACACTGTTCATAGAAAATAAACGACAGGTACTTTTAGAATTTGTTCTAATACTTATCAACACACAGTTAAATAACTGTAAAATAACTTTAATGCAATGGAAATATAAATCAATCTAATACATTATCTAAAGTCTAATTCCAAGTGTTCTTGGAGTCTATCAAGACAATCCTGCAGAAGCAAAGAGCATTCATCAGTGATTCTGAAAACCTGGCAGCAGAATCCACACGTGAGTTGGCAAGGGTGAAGAAGCTTTAAAGAGAAGATTGCTGAAGAGGTGGGCAGTCCAGCTAGCAACAGTCCTGCCTCACCTCCTCTGGCTTGTCATCACCATGAAAGCCCATTCTCTGAGAGTCAAGGCTTCTCCACAGAGGCCTCTGCACAGTGGCCAAACAGGGTATAAGGAAGCAGACCCAGGATGACACAGCAGCTAACTATATCACTTTTTTTTAAATACATAAGAAAATTCTATGCTGAAAATAGAGCTCAGTGGCATAAATACCTGCCCAGCAAGTACAAGGTCCTGAGTTTGAGTCCCAGAACAACAACAACAACAAATCTAACACAGTGTATATCACCAACTCTGGTATGATATACAGTTCATAAAAAGAGGACTATATCAATAAATGAAATTGTTATGATTTTGCTATTGCATGGTGCTACCCAGTGACCATTTATAATGGTAATACAGAATTCCATCAGCGTATTTCCAAAGGCTCCTCAATTCATAGGTGTCTCTAAAAAAGCAGAAACCATAGAAAAGATGTGATTCTTTAAAACAAGAATTCTTTCAAAATCAACACATATGAGACTGCTGGAATACAAGAGCAAACTCTTCTTAAATGCTGCATGTTAGTCCAAGCGGTGGCTGTGCTATTAAAAACAATAAAATCCTAGACAAAACACTAAAAATTCTCTGGAATGCAATTTTATCTTTGGTTAAAAAAAAAAAAAAAAAAAAAAGGAAGTTTAATTTCATTGTTCCTAAGCAAAAACTCAGCTCTGAAAATATTTTGCCTTAGTTTTTTAGTTCAATTTAAACGAGCTTTTGATACTTCAATGACAAATGTTAAATTCGATGCCTACTATAATTAAGGATCTTAAAGTAATTTTTAATGAAAATCTAACACTTTATATAGAAAAATAGATATTTTTAGAAGAATTTGTTCTAAAACTTATCAATACAGTTAAATTAACTGTAAAATAACTTTAATGCAACAGAAATATAAATAATCTAATGTTATCTAAAGTCTAATTCTAAGAATAATGTCATTCTTTAAAATAGCTTAGTAACAGGTCAAATAACAGTATTCCAGGTACAATGTTCACATTTCTTATCTATCACTGGACCTTTAAATACTAGAAAGGAAAGCTCAGAACCCTAAAAAGCTTTTGAAAGCAAGTTAAGGGGGAAAAGGCGGGTAAGGGGCTGGGGAGATACTACACAATGCCCTTTCACTCTCAGTGACACTGACAACAAACAAAAGCTAACTTGCCCTGACAATCCTTGTAGGACGCATTTTGAATCTTAATCTTTCCCCTATCTTCCCAACACATGAACACACACACATGGATATAGTATATTTTCTATAGTTCTTCAAATCTTTGAGTGGCACTGAAACAGGTTTAGTGTCAAACAAGCTCAGGAATTTTTCAATCGAAAAAAAATGCGTATTACAAAGCCTATTTGATTGTCTTACCTTTAGGGTAAAAAGTAATTTCCTTTCACTCAATGAACAGCCCCACATCAAAATCACATGCAAGACTAATTAAATTAATATCACAAATAACAGGTTTAAATACTCTTATTTGGGTCTTAAAAATGACTAACATAGTAAAATATGTGACTTTAAGGTGGGAAAATTCTATGTCTAGTACCTTTCACCTTAGGGTTCTATTTATCATTTATTTTTAAAATGATATTAATACAATATACACTGTCTTCTAAAAGATGATATTATTTAATATTAAGCCTTCCTAAGAAACAAGACATTTAGAAGTGGATAGAAATTCACATTAGGCTGGAGAATTAAATATGTGACTGCTTGACTGATTAGAGAAATTCAGTTTATCCTGAGTAACTCTTACAATTTGAAAGACTATACAGAAAAACACTCTGAAAACAAATCCCTTCCAGGATACAGTTAAATGCAAATTCTCTTTTCTGTCTTACTCCAGAAAGCTCCTGCACACATTGCTGAGACGCCACCTACTGCAAAGCTGAGCTCACAGCGCAGGCAGCGCTGCTGGCATTTCCATTCCATCGCCAGTCGGGACTGAATAAAGGCTGTGTGTGTGTGCGGTAGTTTTTCTTTTTTAAAAAAATCTCAAAGCCAAGAAGAACAAACTGAAATAACAGCTTCAAAAATGGAGCGTAAAATAATCAGAAGAGAAAAAGAAAAGGAGGACGAAGGGAAACACAACAGCCTGGAAGACGCTGAACAAGGACAGCACTGCAAATCCACACTTACGACCCTCAACGTGGGTGGATATCTATACATTACGCAAAAACAGACACTGACCAAGTACCCAGATACTTTCCTTGAAGGTATTGTAAACGGGAAAATCCTCTGCCCATTTGATGCTGATGGCCATTACTTCATAGACAGGGATGGGCTCCTCTTCAGGCATGTCCTAAACTTCCTACGAAATGGAGAACTTCTACTGCCCGAAGGGTTTCGAGAAAATCAACTTCTTGCACAAGAAGCAGAATTCTTTCAGCTCAAAGGACTGGCAGAAGAAGTGAAATCCAGGTGGGAAAAAGAACAGCTAACACCCAGAGAGACTACTTTCTTAGAAATAACAGATAACCATGATCGTTCTCAAGGACTGAGAATCTTCTGTAATGCTCCTGATTTCATTTCAAAAATAAAATCTCGAATTGTTCTGGTATCCAAAAGCAGGCTGGATGGATTTCCAGAGGAGTTTTCAATATCATCTAATATCATTCAATTTAAATACTTCATAAAGTCTGAAAATGGCACTCGACTTGTACTAAAGGAAGACAACACCTTTGTCTGTACCTTGGAAACTCTTAAGTTTGAGGCTATAATGATGGCTTTAAAGTGTGGTTTTAGACTGCTGACCAGCCTGGATTGTTCTAAAGGGTCAATTGTTCACAGCGATGCACTTCATTTTATCAAGTAATTACCTGTCTCATGAACAAAGGCAACAAGCATGCAGCCAGCAAGCTTCAGAAAATCACAGCATCAAAGGCATCCCAAATAACGTGCTAGCTCGCTCGGCTAGCTCTGTACTCCAGAGCCCTGCTGCTAATCAAGTACTGTGAGCTATCGGTATGTAAATTCTATCCTAAAGATGTCCTAATTTGGGGTGCTCCTGCTGATCAGACTCTGTCTCCTAAAATGAAAACAGTAATCATCTATATACTGTAAATAAAAACTGAGTGCTTTTGCTATTTGTTTATTTTTCCTTAAGCTGTCTCTCAATCACCATGTCTTGGGTATTTGTATAAAAAGCAAGCATGCATATTATCTATAGTTCATTTAAAAAACAGTAATAAAATATTTAAATCTAAGGTTTAGCATCTTTTCTATTTATGGCAAAAATCTGCAAAAAACCTGAACTGATACAATTAACTACTGAGCAAAACAGATGTGCAGCTCTACCTAAAACAGAGCTATAGTGAAACAAAATGATATGTAAAAAGGTATTGAAGCTATACTTTTAATTTTTAATAGCTAGCACCAAAAGCTTATTCACAGTTCTTGTATTTCATACTACAATTACAGCTGAATTGATATTTTATTGAAAATTCCTAGAAAACTGTTAATGACAATAAAAAATAAATACCATTGTCAGCTTCTCTGCTTGTATTAATAATTATAATAAAAAGTTACATGTGTTACTTTAAAAACAAACAGCACCACTTTGGTGATTTTGCACAATATTTATATAGTACATTGATGTAACCATTACAGCTCTGATAACCCTGGCTGGTCTTGCAAGTGACAAAAGTCAACAAATCATTTCTTTGCACAACTGAGCTCTAATACAGCATGGATAACTTAAGTTTCAACAGGGCACATGGCATTAGAATAAAGGAATCTACTTTCATAATCACCCTGTATATTTATTTCTTTATCGGGCTCAGAAAAATTAAGTATAACTAAAGATTCTTATGAAAGAACTTCATTGATTATTTTCAATATTTATCTAAATGTTAAATCTTAAGACTCACTGAGTTGTGTTGATTTCTTCATAGTGACTAACAAAATTTTTAAATCATTTTACATATGGCTGTTTCTAAGAAATAAATCTACAATACAAACTGAACTCTAAATGTGAGTCCATCCCATCCCGTGTGTGCCCCAATGAAGAACAATTAAATCATTTCTTCATACTCGTCCTTTGGTTAGAACTAATTATATCTTAAATTTGCTCCTTTGACATTAAATTAAAACTTGTAACTAGGGCCAGGGATTTAGCTCAGTGACATAAGCACCTGCCTGACAAGCACATGGTTGTGAGTTTGAACCTCAGTACCAAAAAAACCCCCAAAAACAAAAACAAAAAAACCTAATAACTAAATCTTAACAACCTTCAACAAAAGATATCTTTAAAATCTTGGCTGAAGTTACATAGACAAATTAGGATCCATTCCTAAACTTCCATTACTTATAAAAACTTAGAATGAGTAAAGCTAATCTCATGTCACTTCCCCTTACGACACTTAAGCTAGTATCAAAGCTGGCTATCCATACTAAACAGAGCCTTTTAAGAACTATTATACAGCTAAGCCCTTTAAGAAATTCTCCTTAAACAACAACAAACTCCACGTTAAATATGTACTTTTGTTATATATACTACGAAAAAAAGTTTCTACTAAAATATCAAATTATCTTAAGTACTTTAAATGGTTTAATCAAGACTCAAAGGAACCACAGAGAAATATATAACAGTCGCTATAGCTGAATTGTTTATATCCTCTCCATCCAGTCTGTAAGTTGACCTTTCCTTGGCGTCTGGTCTTCGGTAATGAAAAAAATGGTTGTGATTTAATGTCAAAGTTTCTCTAACAAGATTTCACTGTTGATAATAAAAACAGCCCTGACACATCTTTTTTTATAGGTGATGTAGCTGTCAAATCTCCTTAGATATCTTACAAGTACAGTTTTTGCATCAATTCACAAAAAATAGAACTTAATTTTTTATAACATTAATATTGTTAGAAACCACTAAAACTCAGATTCGTTTTTGTGCAATATCTCTAAACAAATCATATCTTGATACATTTAATTCCTTCTGAAAAATCACAGTATTGTAACATAACTTAATAAAGGAAATCCATCTAAGCTGGTTACTCTTGTAACCTTTTATAAATGTACTTATTTAAATTCAAAATTACTTGATTTTGGATTTATACATTCAAGTACCTAAATATTGTGCGGTAAATGTACAGGAAGTATCTAGTTTTGTTTGTTTTTTCGGACAGGGTTTTGCTATACAGTCTGGGCTGGCTTGAACTTACTACATGCCCAGGCTTCCACTTCCTTGACCTCCTGGAGATCCACCTGCCTCAGCCTCCTTAAAGGGGAGATTATAAATGTGCAAACCATGCTGGGCTGCTTTTTAAGTTTAATGTCTTTTTAAAAAATCTGAGATATCTTCTATTCAAGAAAACTCAAGAAGTCAAATAAAATGTGAACTAAGTATGAGTGAAGCCTTTGTAACACGGTTTCCAGTCTCAAGAATTTCTTTCTCAGGTCTTTTTGGATCACTTAACTCAAACACTTAGTTCTCGGCACAAAACACAAATTCACAAAGAGGTGTGAATATAAATATTAAAATACAGGATTATCTTACTTGATACTATCTCACAATGTAAGTATGCATAAAATGTTAAGCATAAAACTGAATTTTGCGAAAGTCAGTAATATTTTCCATGTCATGTCACGTCACGTCACGTCACGTCACGTCACGTCACGTCACGTCATTTAAAGAACATGTGATGAATCATGTTAGTCACTAGACTAACAAATATCCCGAATTTGTCTATTTGTGAATCTAGATTTTTATATATCAGGTTTGCTGAAAAGCAGGGTAACTTTTGAAGACTTGCACAATCCACAGAACTAATATCATTATGAGGGAAATATATGGTATGATGAAATTCACATGAGTTTTGGAATGTAACTTTAACTTGCTAATACAGGGGCATAAACTAGATCCTTAACTTTTAAAAATTTGCATATCCTTGTTATAAAATGGAGATAATAATTATTTGATAGAGCTTTTTATAAAGCTTAATGGCTGAGTAGTATGTAAAATGCCTCACCACCTCATAGAGTTTCAATCAAAGTACTGATTACCATATGTAGTTCACGCCATTTCCATGGACTAGGCTTAGACATGAGCAAAACAGAAAACTTTTAATACATCCGTACTACTGTAATGAAATGTTGTAAGACACAAAAACTATGCTTTAAATTGCTACAAGTAAACACAGATTTCATTTTACTAGTTTAAAAATATATATGAGCCTTAGGTATACGTCAGTGATAGGGTTTGCCTACAGCACAGAAGGCCGTGAGTTCAACCTCTAATACTGCCAAAAACAAAAAACAAAAACTAAAAAGACATATGGTAAGTTTTTTAGACTTATCTTCTAGCCTCATGTAAAAAGCTAGAAAACTAAAATAAACATCCTACCTATTTTATCAGCAATTTAAAATCAGTGGAAATAACATGTGTGATCGTATAATCTTAAGCGATATGCCCAACTGGTAAATTATGATAAACACCTTGAAATGCAATGATGTTAGCTGGGGTTAAAGATGTAGCACTTGGGCCTCGGGTCTGGCTCAGTGGTACTAATGCCTGCCTGGCAAGTGCAGTGTCATGAGTTCAATCATCAGTGCCAAAAAGAAAAAAAAAGCATCTGAATAGTAATTATCCTTGCTAGTAAAACACAGCTGCTATTAATACGGACTATCCAAATAGCATGCAAGTTAAAAACAAAAAACAAAAAACTTCTATATAGTTTTGGAATATATGACCTGTAGCAGATTTAGCTTCCTAATCATTATTTTTTAAATTATTAGCTTAAACAAAATAATGACTAAGCTGATAACATTAAAATTAATTTGCTTTATTAATAAACATCAAGAGAGTAACATTAAAGGAACACATGCTGGATAGAGAATACTCTAAAATGTACGTAATATAGGGTGACTATATTTGTTTTTCTTGACAAATATACACAATAGTTCAAGAATTTGTATTAAAAAATCATTGGTATGCATCTCATAAGCTGTTATAACTCATATTTACTTAAAAATTCTTACTTGTAAGAAAATACAATTTTAGCACTTTGTATGTAAAGTACTAAAACTACAGTTATTTCAACATTAGTTATTTTACTAAATTGGTTACTTAAAAAATGAGACAATTATACCTCTTGATTATGTCTTAAAATCCTGTTCCCTATCATTAAATGTAACACAGTTAACTAACAGCATAATAATTTTTCTAATCCAAGATTCCAGAAGATTCAGTACGATTTTAATTTGTTTTAATAATTAAAAGTATCTAGATAATTCCTAGAAATTCCTTTATAAAACCAGGCCCACTTTTGAAAACTAATTTTGATTACCGGCCTCCTGGATACATAGCACAAATTTTTCTATACTAATAAGGTATAGGATTGAGCAGGTCTAAAATCCATTCTTGTACCCACTGACTTTGATTGTTGTAATAGATGTTCATTAATTAATTTTTTAGAATTCTTAAGAAATATTGAATGATCGTACTTTTCACTCACTTAGTTGCTTGAATCTGATCATCTTCCATCACTTAATGCAGTTATACAAAGAATTAAGCCATTTGATGAAGATATTTGTATTTTTTTTAAAAAGTATTTAAAGTGTGAAGAAACTACAGTCATATGCTCTAATAAAACTATTTTGATTTTTAAACAATTTTTCTACATATGTAAGGATATTTTAGTTTTTGTTTTTGTACCAGGGATGGAACTCAGAACCTCACACTTGCCAAACAGGTGCTTGTGCCGCTGAGCTAGACCCCTGGCATATGTAAGGTTATTTTAAAAGAAATCCTTATAGAAAGACAAAAGGAAGACTGTACACAGCCACGTGTGAATGAAAATTATTAAGCCTGGATAATTACTACAAACAAAGAATCTTCAAGTTATAGGTAATTTTTAAAAATCAACAAGAGAGTATACACTCATGGTACAGAACATACTGTTTTTGAAATATTGGATGTATGCATCACAGAATGGCTAGTTCAGCTAATTAATGTACACCTTAACTCACAAATTTTTTTTGGCATAAGAACATGTTAAAGTATATGTTGTTATTAACTCTAAAGTCACCATGTACAACAGCTAAATCATACATGATTTATTTCTAAAACAAAAGCTAAAATACAACCTTAAGTACATACAATGTGCATATTGTATATCTAATTGTTAAATACAGTTGCCTTCCCCTCAAAAAAAAAAAAAAAAAAACCCACACTTGTGGGGCCACTTGTGGGGATTTGGATCAGTGGTGT